TGCCAGGAATAAAGATGCAGCAGATCAGTGAAAGCAGCAAAACCACCCCTTTTCTGCTACTCAGCAAGCTCAGAGAAGGCAGGTGTGGTGCTTTGCATCTTGGAGGGGCTGTGGGGACAGAGAACCTGCCACTGCTTTGGGCTCAGGCTGTGATAGCCTGTCCATAACTAGGAATGGGTTGGAAGCCCTTGACACATGTTGGAGAAAAACCAGAAGGCTTAGTGCCCTTAAGAATGTTTCACTTTTAGCTGTTAAGTTAATCTCAAGACAGTACCAAGTTCTGAAAAATGCCTCTCAGGGGAGACGGGTAGGTGTATTGCTATAACCCAGCAGCTGCCTGCTTGCAGCCTGGCTCTCTCCTTATCCAGCAACACACAGACTGAGCCCCCATTCCTGTTAAAGGCCTTCTGAGGCCATAAAGGTTTCTGAGGACATTTTATGGAACTGGAGCACAGTTTTACTATTTAAAATTATTACAGGGATTATGGTTACTATATCTTTATTTTTATGACAAGTTGTTGGTTATGCCCTTGATTTATGTGATACTGGGCTTTTGTTCAAGAACACAACCTCCAATTAAATGTGGTTATTGTGGTAAAAATATGATTCTCCTTAGAATGACCCTCTTTGGGGCTGTTTCCAAAAACTCATTACGGTGTGAACTCAGTGCTGCCTGTTCATGTTCATGAGCATTTCTCCTTGTGGCTACTTGGTTTTCCCATACGGAGGGTTAGAGGGTTAAGGCTGTGAGTTGGACCAGAGGAGAATGGAGGGGAGAGGAAAGAATCTTCCCCAAGAATCTATGTGGGTCACCATTGAAAACGATAATACTTCAGAGAGGAAGGAACCTTAAATATCAGGAGCAATTTTCTCTTTAATAAGAAGAAGGAATTACAACCCAAAGAACCCAGGAACCGAGGCCAGGCCCAGGGTTCTCAGGCCCAGCGCTCATATTATCCTCTGTACCACACTGACTGTCCTAGGGGTGTCTTGGGCACACACAGCGCCAATCCTGTCCTATTGTAATCCGAGGGAACAGCCCAAGACTTGCTTAAAAAGTCCCCATATCTTTTGTGAACGATTTGACTTTTCCAAAAGTAGGGAGCAGATATTGCTTTAACCTATAAGAATTTTAGGATCTATTAGACACTTGTCAGTGCTTTGGGTTCTACAGAACTTATCTCACCAAAAACATGAATTTACGATGAGGCATGGAAACAGCCATTCAACTTGGAGACCAAAGTCATAGCCTCAAATCTGCCACTTAACCTGCCAAGTGAGATCACTGGCATCCCACCATTCACTTCTCCAGGCTTCTTTTCTCTTCGCTATGGGCTTAATAATACAACTGGCTTTGCATGCTGTCATGGATACTGTTGGTGCCCACCCAGATCCCCTTCATCAGGTCCATTCCCAGCTACTGTGAGTGTTGGCGAGAGTTCACAGATAGAGTTCTCTGAAGCCCTGACTCTGGTTCTACTCTTGGATAGCCCTACCGAAGACACCTCCCTCTCAGTGTTGCAAGAGTCAAATAAGATTCTATTCATGGAGGCCTTCTGAAAACTAAAGTATCAATGGGTTTTTACTGTGCTCTTGATGAAGATCCTGGCTACAAAACCCCAGCCGTGGCTTCTTAACTGAAGGCCAATGATGATGGCAGGTAAGGCACTGGGGGAGAGCAGGGCTGTTGTCATGCACCCCAAAGGTGTGAACCAAGGCAGCTCTTCCTTGCCCACCCAGGAGCCCAGGATAGTGGGCAGACAGTAAAAATGGTCTGACTTGAAGCTGGTGATTTTTAGGTAGTGCTAGGTAGTGATGGAACAAATTTTTCCTCTATTGGGAGGACAAGTATTGAAGTTGCAAGTCATTCAGACCTTGAAACTGAGCAAGGTCGCAGAAATTCCTGCCTTTGCTTCAGATCCAAAATGCTGTAAAATCATTAATAAACTGCAACTTTCCTAAGTGGTGCCAATTTCCATGTATTTAAAAATCCCTGGATATTTATTTTAACAGGGCATTTCAGAGGTAAATTTGGGGTACCTGTAGAAAATGAGGAGAAAAGAGAAAGAGACAGAGGATTGTGTCCCTGAGGTCTGGAACACTTGGAATGTCCCCAGTTAATCATTGATGCCTCAGGGCCTGACAGGCCACCAAAGCAGGCCCTGCTGCAGGGGGCAGCGTGCTTGCTGATGGAATGCTAGGATGCCTTTGGTGCAGTTAATGATTTATCTCGTCTCAGTTGCAGTGCTGGCACTCCCTTTCTCTGAAGCTGGCCAGAGGCTGGGTGATCACCTTCTGGAGGGTACACCAGCCTACCTGGTTCAGGAGAAGATAATGTTGATTTGCAAATTCACTATATGACCAGATTCCCAAGGCACTTCCTCCTGTTAGTTGTTTTCTAAAAATGAGAAGAATGCTCTAACAGGGTAATTGTCATCTGATGTTCCTTTGCATGAACATTTGTGCCGGGATAGGGCCAAAAGATGACATGATTTTATATGGTGCATGACGTGTCACCTTCAAACATGCGTGATGTTTATTTGTATAGCTCTTGTATTTCCATTGCTAGATTTCAGTACCTTGAGGGCCTCAACGAATTAATGGATGTGCTGTACATTCATTATACAGACACACTAATATAAAAAGAACACTTTTTTATTTAAAATTTTTTTCTATTCTACAAAGGCTAGGTGTGTTATTTGCAGAAATATCAGAAATTAAAAGGAAAAGAGGAAAGACCCACAATCCTCCCCACCCAGAGACAACCACTGTTAACACTTTGTTTCATATTATTATAGCTGGGAGACCTTATATGTCCAGATGGATGTGGTCTCCTTCAACACTGTCAACCTAAGGTATGATACATTTGCTTTGGTGAGACTACAATGGCTTCGGGCATTGATGACATGCTTTCAGGGAATTGACTTGAGAATCTAAGCATTTCCTCACAGGTGCTCACTTTCTGTCAGGAGTGTAGTTTGGATATTGATAGGAAAGGGACTTATTGTTTCCAGAAATTGTAATAAGATGAGTAATATCGATTCAGAGTTTTGTTTTGTTTTTGTTTCTTTTTTATTGGAGTCTGACTACAAATTAGTGGGGATAAAGAGGCAGGTCTTGTGACATTCATAAGCAGGCACCGAAGAGGTGATTATACAGAATAGCCAAAGAGGGATTTTCATTTTGGGGATTTTCACTGTGATACAAGGCTTCCTTCCTTAGGAGGAAACCTGTGTCTTGGCTACTGAGAATTGGGTCTAAGGATGGGTTAGAGACTGAATACCTGGGGGAAGGGAACTGAGCACAGTCCAAAGACAACCACTGCTGCTTTTAACGTCATTCTTCCCTCCCTTCCTGTGCTCAGGGAAGTGGCTGGATTTGGATGCCCAGGCATGTGTGCACTTGCTACCCCGCATGCTGATATAGCATCATTCTCTGACCTTGTAGGGAGTGTGAGGAGGATTATTGCTAGAGGTCATCGAAGGCTTTCTTTGTAAACACAATTTGGGAATCATCCAGCACATTTTGGTTTTGCTTCATCCTATCCATTCTCTCTTATCTTGGAGTAGATACCTGGGTAAAAACTATCACTACTTCTGTTTTGTAATGTAAACACCTTCCTTCTCAGGAGTCTTCTATGATATCTTCTCTGCATTTTCCAGTGCTAAAATCCCCAATTCTGGGACCTTGGCTGTGCATTGGTGAGCCAGTTTGAGCCCTATTTTTCTGAAGATGAGTTCGTTTTCTAAAGAACTGTTGAATTTCAGGTGTCTGAGAGCCCTTTGGTAACTTTCTTTCTCTGAAACTCAAAGTGAATTCTTTTCTTGGCATTTGTCTCTGAATTTTCACTTCTTCTGGGAGATGTCTTCTCTCTGAATGAGTTGCTATGATGCTCAGATAAGTCAAGTACTTAGAAAAGTGCTGAACACTTAGCACTCAACAAATGACAGGTCTAGAGCAAGGCCGCACCATAGGAATGCCACGAGAGGCACATAATATGTAGCTTTTCTAGTAGCCATATTAAGCAAGTTGAAACAGGTGAAATAATCTTGATAATTTATTTAACCCAAAATAAAAAATACTAATTTTTCAATATGTAATCAATATTTTCAAATTGAGGTATTTTATGTTCTTTCTTTATACTGTCTTCAAAACCCCATGTGCAATGTACACTTACAGTGCATCTCAGTCTCACCAGCCTCATTTCAAGTGCTTCATCACTGCGTGTGGCTAGGGCAACCATATCGGCAGTGCAGGTCCAGAACCTACTGCTTAAGACAAGTTCCAGGGACCAGCAGTCTCTGTGAGCTTGTCCTAACTGCAGAATCTCAGGCCCCAAACCCAGACCTACAGAAGCAGAATATGCATTTTAACAAAATCCTCAAGAAGAAAAACTTTGGGTAGGGTGAGTGGACGGAGAGTCACGGGGTTGGGGTAGTCAGAAAAGGGTTCTCCCAGGAGGGAACATTTGAGCAGAGACCTGAAGGACACAAGGGGCCACATCAGGTGAAGGGCTGTGGGAAGAGCGCTTCCTTTAGACAGGGAACAGCATGGGTGAAGGCCCTGAGGCCCCCCTGCCAAGTGATTCATTCGCACATTAGGGTGAGAAGCACTGGCCAAGAATCCCCATGCTCAGTCCCCACCCTGTGGGATTCTGACTACTTTGTCTGAGGTGGCACCTGGGCACTAGTATTTTTTTAAAGCCCCCCTGGTGATTTTAATATGCAACTAGGCTCAAGAGTCACTTGTGTAGTGGGCTCTGGGGCCAGGATGCCTGACTCTGCCGCTTGCCACCCTTGAGACCTTGGGAAATTACCAGAACTCTCCTCACTTCAATTTCCTCATCTATAAAATGGGGACAAAAATAATATCTACTTCGAGGGTTATCATGAGGATTAAATGAGTTAACACACGTAAAGCAATCAGAACAATTCCTGGCACAGAGTGAGTACTCATGAAACATAAGCTCTTACCTTTCTGCTTTCTGCTTTCTCCTGAAGGTACGGGGTTACCCAGAGCCCCAGGTGACGTGGCACCGAAACGGGCAATCCATCACCAGTGGGGGCCGCTTCCTGCTGCATTGTGGTGTCCGGGGGACTTTCAGCCTCGTGATTCATGCTGTTCATGAGGAGGACAAGGGAAAGTATACCTGTGAAGCCATCAATGGTAGTGGTGCCCGCCAGGTGACAGTGGAGTTGACGGTAGAAGGTGAGTCCCAGGAGGTGGGAGCCCTGGTGAGAGCTGAGTGGTCAGTTCCCCCAAGGCCTGCAGCTCCTGCTTCAGCCCTGTCTTGGGAGATGGAGGAGCCTACAAGAGAAAGCACCCCTTACCCCTGGACTCAGGACCTTCCAGTCTAATGGGAAAGATGTGGTCCTGCAAGCAAGGGAGGCATCCCAGGAAATGTTTGTCAAACTAGGTATCACCTCGCTTTCCCACTCAAGCCTTCCCATTCCTTCCCCTTGCATGAGACTAAAACCACACTCCACGTAGTAGCCTTGCAAAGCCCTGGCTGATCTAACCTCTGCCTGGCTCTCCAGACCCATCCCCTGCCACTCTCCACCTTCTCACCCCACTGTGGTCATGAAGCCTTCTTGCTCTCTGTTGAGCAAGGCCTCAGGGCCTTTGCCATTCTGCTTCCTGTCTAAAGGAAGAGCTCTTCCCACAGCCTTTCACCCAGTGTGGACCCTCATGTCCTTCAGGTCTCTGCTCAAAGGTCCCCTGCCTAGAGAACCCCCCCTTTTTTTTTCTGACCGGTAAGGGGATGGCAACCCTCAGCACAGTGCTGTCTGCACCACACTCAGCCAGTGAGTGCACCGACCATCCCTATGTAGGATCTGAAACTGCGGCCTCAGTGCTACCAGCACCACACTCTCCCGAGTGAGCCACGGGGCCGGCCCATAAAGAACCCTTTTTTGACTACCCCAATCCCATGACTCTCCATCCTTCTCTCCCACCTAAAGTTTTCCTTCTAGGACTTATCACTATCTCACGTTATATTATCAACTCCATCCCCCACCACCATGGAAGCTCTTGGAGCAGACTTAATCCTGTTCACTGCTGTATCTCCAGCATCTAGAAAACTTCCTGGCATGTCATAGATACTGAAATATTTGGGGGAATGAATGAGCAACATTTATCATCATTAGCACCATTATGAAGTAATACATGCCCACTATAAAAAAAAAAGCTCAAAAAAATGTACACACCAGTGTGTTAACACTGATTAGTTACTTTGTCTTTTTTTCCTCCTCTGTACTTAAAGAAATTCTATTAACTTTAAAACTTCCTAAACATTTGACCATGAGTAAACTGTTTTTTCTGCTAGTGTACACTCCTGGCATGCTGAAGCTGCTCTACTGTGAGCATTTCCAGTTCAGGCTGATGCTTAAAGAGGCCTGATGTCTGAAAAGACATGGGAGTCTGTCAGCCCCTTAAAAGTAAGGGGCCTTGACCCTTCCAGGCCTTTCTAAGCACCTATAAACCAGAGGATCAGACTCACTTTCTCCTGTTTCAGAACACTATCCTCCCAACCTGATTTTCAGGCAATGCTGTGTGAGAGGGCTGTGGATGGAGGATTAAGGTAATCAGGGAAGGTTCCAGAAAGGGCGAGGTGCACCTGGACCAATGGCCACTCTTTGTTCTGTTTTCTTTGTGTTTCCCCACACCATGGAAGGGCAGACAGGCTATTTCGCAGAGCAGAGTGTGCATAGTTTGGACGCGTTCCTTAAATTCTTTACTGAGTGACTCATTCATTTAATGACCTTCAAGTGTCTGTGGCTGGAACATTCCAGATGGAAAATGGCCCCTGGTCAGAGTCTCAGGATGGACCTCACCTCTGCCACTCTGGTGCTGTCCCCTACATTACCCACTTTTCAATGCCCAAACTTTGAGTTGAGGCCTACAAATAAAAATCACCCCATCCCCTTTTCTGATTTCCTGTTTGGAGCTGTGGAAATGGAAAGAGCACTGAGCTATGAGTCAGGGTCCAAAGTCCAGGCCCCAACTTTTCCCAATCAGATATGTGACTTTAAACCTCTGGACCTCTGTTTTTGCAGAATAAAGGGTTTGAATTCAGTGGTCTCTACAGCCTGGGCTAACCCTTATTTTCTTTGATTCGTGTTAAGGGAGGATTGGAGTGAGTGAGGAATACAGAGGAGGTATATAAAACCTAGCTAATATGAACACCTTTCTTTAAATTCCCATTGTTCAGGAAGTTAGATCTGATGTCTCAATCAAGCAGGAAAATTTTTAGTAGGTCATGGTGCTCAGGGCAGGGGAAAGGAAATAAGGCAGGAGAGCCATAGAGGAATGAGAGAAGGCTACGGCTCTCAATCCTGCCTCTTTCCCTTTGGTTTTAATTTGAGAAGACTCAGACCCAGATCATTTGAGATGTCCTATGTCTTCCAACCCTAGGAGATAGAGACCAGCCTAAAGGCTGCTGCCTCTTTAAATGTGAGTGGGCCCTGTGTACATTCCACTCTGCATCATAGCCCAGTTTTTAGCTGGTGTGTGGTTTGGGGCCACCCAAAGACCATAGGCCTGGAAGGATCCACTTTGGTCCCTTCTGCTGTGGATAAGTTGTTGGCTGTGCCAGCTAGCCCAAACATTTACAAAGGGAATGTGGTAGCACCCTGCCTTCTCTCCAGCTCACTGTGCTGTGCTGCTTACTTATGCTTCATACTTGGAAGAGCAGGGTTCTGGAATTAAGTGTCATTCATATGTGGAAGCTTTTAACCCCTTAGTGGTCAAGTTTAGGAGGCAGTGTTGTGTGATGGAAAGGAAGCCAAACAGTCTTGGATTGCATTTTAGTTCTACTAATTTTTTTTTTCCTTTTTGTCTTTTTTCGTGACCGGTAACGGGATCGCAACCCTCGGTGTCGCGCCCGCACCGCACTCAACCAGTGAGCAGACCGGTCTCTATATGGGATCTGAACCCTCGGCGGGAGCGCCACTGCATTCCCAAGCGCTGCACTCTACCGAGTGCGCCACCGGGCCGGCCCAGTTCTACTAATTTTTAAGTATGGGGAAAGTAACCTTTCTGAACCTTATTTCCTTTTCTGTAAATTGGAGCTAACGGCTGCCTCACAGGATGATGTAAGGATGAGAACATCCACTGGCAGACAGCACCCAGTAAGTGGGAGCCTGTAATTACTTGAACTGGTATTAACATCCTTAGAGCTACTTACAGAGGGAAATCTGTAAGAGAGAAAGTTTCCCTATCTGACTTATAATTTGGTAATCAGGGCCAGGAAACATGCATGATCCCCCAGGAGACAAGCTCTTTAACAACAGGACCATGTGGTTATTCGGCACCTTAAGCAATGGGAAGCAACCTCAGTCTGAGCCCCAGGAAAGTCACTCTGATGCCAGATCTGACACTCACTCACCTCCAGAGGCTGGTCACTAAGGCTTGGTGCAGAGCAAGGAAGAGATGCAAGGCCTGCCCTCTGAGAGCTTCCTCTCTCCTAGAAGTGCCTCGGGCCTGTTCTGTAGCACAGCACTGTCCAGTAGAGACATAATGTGAGCCATGTATGTAATATTAAGTTTGCTAGTAGCTACATTTTAAAAAATCAGGTGAAATTAATTTTCATTAAATATTATGTTTAACCCAATATATCCAGAATTATTATCCTTTCAATGTATAATCAACATAAAAATTATTAATGAGATATTCTACATTTTTCAATATCTGGGTGTATTTTATACTAACAGCACATCTCAGTTCATACTAGCTATATTTCAAGTGCTCAGTAACCATATGTGGCTAATCGTGACTGTTTTGGACAATGCAGTTTTAGAAGCTCCCATCTGAATAGGTATAAACAAGGCTTCCATGGAGAAAAAAGAAGAGAAACCCACATGGTGAACAAGGTGGTGAGTAGTCCTGGCCATCATATCGACAGAGCGAGCCTTGGACATGGGGTGGAGTGAAGGTGGCACCCGAATGATGGGTATGCCCCAAACCTGGGGGTCTGAGTCTGAGAAGGCCCTTTGTATTTCAGGGACAGAGAGTCACTTAAGTCTCTTTAAGTAATAGAGGGTTAACTTCAAGGACATAAGCTCAGGAGCCTAGGGAAAGCCGAACTGATAGGCCGAGAGGAGATCCAGACCTCAGATGGATCTTACCCACCTTACAGGATTGGTTCGTGCAAATGCATGTGCACACAGTTCACCTGGAAGTCTTGTTAAAATGCAGATTCTGTAGGTCTGGAGCACAGCCTGAGAGTCTGCGCTTCTAGCCAGTCCCCAGATGGTGCCCATGCTGCTGGGCCACAGACCACACCTGGAGTAGTCAGGAGGGTCAGTTACACATGTGATATATTCAGCCTAGTACAGCGATTCTCAGCCTTGAGTATGCAGCGGAATCCCCTGGAGGGCTCCTGAAAACACAGACTGGGCTAGAGCAGCCTGCCTGGCTCTCCTCTTCCAGACAATCTCCTGCTCATCTCCTCCCCAGGCACACTCCCCCTCCTCTAGCTGCCCTGCAGCACTGTGGCCCCTGCTCTCTACACCCTCAGGGAGCCACTATCGAGCAAACCAGGATTCCCTGACTATGTAAGAGAAAGAGGGCCAGCAGCAGGTCACCTAAAATGTGGCAGCAGAAAGGGGGGTGACCCCCTGTCATGGGATTTAGGGAGAAAAGTGGCCCTGCTGACCGCTAGTCCGGCTCTAGTGGCACCACTGACACCAGTATTCTTGGGCAATTTTGAATTTGTAGGAAAAGCTCCTGTGCCATGTTTTTGCCACTGCCCTTTCTTAGGGACAGATTTCTGAGATCTCTTTTATCTTCATGTTGAGTTGGATTGGACAAACAGTTTAAGCCCATGTCTATTTGTATTGGCCGAGTTTTTAATTATTGTGTTCCTCCAGGGTGTCTGTCATGGTTCTCCTTTTGTTTCTTTGTTCTCTTATTTCTTTTGTACTATCTTCCTTTATCTAACTTTCCTACCTTTCTCAAGGACTGTAATTATATTTTCTATTTATGTTCTTTATAAACACTTTTCAATCTATAAAACTCTCTAAAGACTCTTCTTTATTTAGGGATATATGCCCTATTTTTTTTAATCAGGGCAGAATCTTTGTGTTTTTGTCTTTTGCTGTCGCATCAAAGTTAACAATATAAATATGGTAGAATGAAAATGATTCTTCTTGCCCCGCTCGTCTCTGCTGTGAAACAGTTATGTCAAGGCTGCCTTTGGCAGAAGCCTCACTT